CCGCCGCGTGAGCCAGGGCGGTCCCACCGGGGACCAGCTGGTGGATGCGCTGGACCTGCTCGTGTCGCAAGCTAGCGCCGCCGCGTCACCCGAGGTCGGGACACCGCTGGCCAGGGGTCCATGATGTATTACCTGATTCGGAATTGAATGTCGTTGTCGCGTCGGCAGGTGGTGATTCTATGTGTTGTGTGCGAATGTCTTAGTTGGTAGGTATGCGGCTGGCTTGGTTGGTGGATACCGTACTCTGTTTGGCGGGGCGGTGGTGAGCGTGTTCGTAAACCTGTTCGCTTGCAGTGAGGCGTCCTGTAAAGATTGTGTAGGTAGAAATCGATCCGGCCTAGGGATTTTAGATTTGTTACTCGGGCAGTAATGCTTGGACCTCCTGCGTGTTGTCGTAGGTGTGCCGTATAAATGTTGTCGTAGCGCGTCGTATTTGCACGGTGGCGTATCTCCGCAGGATGCATGTGGCTGTATGACTTGCGGCACACGTTTCGGTGGCCTTTTTTAGTGCGCGGAAACTCCAGCGAGAAATCCCGCCTTGAGGAGGAAGGGGCCTTGAGTGGCTTGCCCACCGCCGCCTCCCACGAATCGGTCTCAGTGATTTCTGCCATGCATGTACATGTGCACATGGAATTGGACAGAGTAAAGGCAAGAGGAAAGCATGAAGGATAGCAGGGAGATAGCAAGGGCAAGAGGAAAGCAGGAGATATGGGCGGCCAAAGCGCTGCGGAGGGTGCCAAGGTTTGCGGTTTCAAATCAAACGCAGACATGGGCAGCCCTACACACATGTAAGATCAGCCTCCTTCGATGAGGTGCAGGAGGCCCGTGTCTGTGCCATTCTCAACTGTATCAATCTCGGTGCGGGCTCCCAAGTCGGGGCGGCGTGGCGTGATTCCGAACCGGTGCATGCTAGACGGTCTATGGCCGACACTATGAATGGTCCGTTCACTCTTGAAGAGGTTGAGGCGGCTTTGTCGTCCCTGTCTAATGGGCGTTCCCCGGGTCTGGGTATGGTTCCGGCCGAGTGCTACAAGTATGCCAAGCGAATCCCTCGTGAAGGTGACGAGGACAGGGTGTCTGTCAATGTTATTGCCCCTGCGATTCGAGACCTTTTCCAGCACATTTGGGATACAGGGGATGTGCCTGACCAGTTTTGCGTGGCGTCTCTCAGTCCGTTATTTAAGAAAGGCGACCCCAGGGTCAAGGACAACTACAGGGGTCTAGCTGTGGGATGCGCCATTGCCAAATGCTATGCCACGGTTCTCGACAGGCGGCTGGCAGCTTTCGGGGATAAAGATGGTGTCCGGTGCCGTTTTCAGGCTGGGTCCCGTCAAAAGCGCAGCACAGCTCATCAGTTGTTCGTTGTTCGTCATCTTAAAAGTCGTTATGAGCGGCCCGGCAGCAATCAGGCCCTGTATGCGTGTCAGGTGGATTTTGAGAAAGCCTTTGATAGAGTGCCCCGGGCAAGCCTGTGGCAGCGTCTTGAGGAGAGGGGTGTGCATGGACCCATGTTGACGGCCCTTAAAGCCAGCTACGAACGTGTTCTCCAACGGGTCAAGGTTAACGGTCGCCTAGGGTCCATCTTTGCCTCTCTGCAGGGCGTGAAGCAGGGGTGTCCCATGAGTCCCAATTTGTTCGGGTTCTTCATTGAGGTTATTGCCGACTACCTTGAAGCGAGGGATGGTATGGACGAATGGTTCAACACACGTGCACACGAATGTCCTGTCATTAATGATCGTCGGTTACCTCTGTTGTTCTATGCAGACGACCTTACTTTGTTCGCGACCTCGTTGGCACGCCTCCAGTTCTCGCTTAAGCTGCTTATTGAGTTCTGTGCTGCTTTTGGTATGCGCTGCAACGTTCGGAAATGTGAGGCCCTTGTTGTGGCTGCTTCCGTTGATGTCGTTAAGAGGGCGTTTGAGGGGGTGAGGCTCATGCTTCCTCTCCGTACTGATGGGTCGCTTTGGCACCCACCCATGGTTGGTAGTTACTGTC